GTATGCTGTATGCTGAGAACTCTCCTCAAATCCGAAATTTGACTTCAGTCTTCAGAGGAGAGTTTTTGTGCAGTTTTGTTTATATTTTTGATTTACATATATAGATAAATATGTATATGTTTTTATGAACGTGTCACTCGCAGAGGTATGGTTTAACATTTGAACAAGTTTTATAATTAATTACTAATTGTTAGTTATTAAAGCTATACAATAAGCAAATATCAAAGGCCTCCTACTCAGGTGCATTATTCCGATTAGCTAATCGACGCGAACGACGCAATGGGCGATTATCATGGGTTTGACTGCGACGACGTTTCAAGCTCTGCGTCGCTATATTTCTATTATAATTGTTCAGATTAACATGCGTATCCCACTGAAAAATAACAAAATAGTTAGCTCAAATCCGATTTCCTTTCAAAGGCAATGCCTTACCGAGCTGGATACAATTTCAGAGCGCACTGGATGCCAGTCCAGGTCCCGTATAACGTTTTTATGTCCCTCAATAGCCTCACGTATCTTCCCCGTCAGCACGTCATAAACTGTAAGGAAATAATAGATATATAAATATGAGTAGTTGTAGCTGTACACATAAAGAAAGTGAAGATATTTTTACTTATTATGCGGCCCGTAGCACAGCCCGTGTATATGAAACGCTGTCCTGTTTGCTCCATGGGAGAAAATTTCGCGCGAAGCAGCGTTTTACTAACACGATGTCCACGATAGGTCATAATGCTGCTATCACCATCTAAAGCTTTTCGTGGATTGTAAACTGTATTAGAAGAAAAGAAGAAAAAGTTATAAATTCATTCATAATGAAATAAAATATATATGATACATAAATTTTTAAAGGGAAGGCAAAGCAAGCGAAGTTAGCTTTAACTTTATACATATCACATTTGATAGATATATATTGCTTACATTCGCGGGGAACACGATCCCAACGATAGTCCCATGTAGTCATTGCCAGCTGATGTTGGCGGGCGGTGCTGCGGTTTCGCAGATTGCTTGGCTTGCGCATATCCCAGATTTTGATACTTTGGTCCTTGGAATTGGAGAGTACATGGTAGCCATCATTGCGCGAATCAATATAGGTAATCCCATCAAAGTGTCCAATAAACGAGACAACACTTTTGGACAGATTGCGACTGCGAAACGAGGTGCGTAAATCGTAAACCTTTAACAAGCCATCATCACAACCGGCTATTATCACATTCGGATCATTGTCATTAATATAAGAAACGGCATTCACATCCGTTACAGGCATGCGATGGGTGCGCAGGATCTGTGTGGCACGCGTCTCCACATCTCCAATAATCACAGCGGAATTGTTACTGCCACCAATAATCTTATCGCCCGTTGGCGAATAACGAATCGAGAAAATAGCAACGCGACTGCTCGAAGTATCGTTTACGTCGATCCATTGGCAATCATCGTCCGAGCCATCTACGGGCATTATATAAACTACAAAGGGAGAAAAGGAGATAGATAATTAATGTAAATAGATCTTAAATAACTATTTATAGCACACAACTCACAAGAACGTGACCAAGTGGAGTAGGCGAAGTGCTGGCCATTCGGACTAAAGTCCGCATCTGTAATGCTCCACTGTATATCGCGTGCACTTATTCTATTCAGCAGATGATAAGTGCCTTTGGAGCCATCGTTAATGCGGACAAAGCCATCTGCAAAGTTAAACTGCGCATTAATTCAATGGAAAATCCAAACTGGAACTGAAACTGACCTTGACACGCTGTTAAGAGCTTGGTGCCCGTCTTATTGAACTTGGACACAAACACTTTGGCATCGAGCGACATTAAACGCATTGATCTATGGTTCGGTATATACATGTTAGAGAAATAACGTTGTTGATTTGGCGAAAAAGAGTCGCTGCCAGGATATGCAAGGCCATTTTCACGCTTTTGCAGGGCTTGCATTAAGTTCCAGCGCTGTTCCGTTGGCTTGGCGGTCATGCTGCAACGAGCTTTCACCTCGTTGTACATCTCTGTGTACTGTAACGATTTGCAATTGATTGTAGGTAAACAAAGAAACTATTATCAATTACATGCTCACTTTAAATTTATCTACGTTTGGCTTTTCACAAACTGGCAGATTGTTTGGGTGATTGTTTTGTTGACGAAAATGCACATTCATGGCATCCACTGTGAAATTGATAACATTGTAGCCAAGTCCATCGGCGGGTATGTCAAATAGGTCATCGTCTTCGCTTATGATCCCCAATGAATTTCCCATGCTATAATAATGGATGCCAAACCAAACAAAATAAATGGAATTTACACCAAATTGTCAATAAGTTGTTTGTTAGAATCAATGTGGAGGTGGGTCGACAGCGAGCTCTCAGCTGTGTGATATATCGGTAAGTCACAATAGTTGCAATTTTACAACACTGAAAGTAGAAGCTGTTGTGAATGGATTAAATTTGAATTACAATTAAATTATTTGCTTGCTTTCTCATAGAATCATTGTTTTATTCCATTCTGAAGTCAATAAAGTATATAGCTATTTTTGTCTTTTAAATTTGGTGTTTACATTTGCTGTTAATTAACAGCACTCAAAGCTCGTTGCTCGGCTTGGAGCTTAGGCATGTCTCAAAGCTCGGATCAGTCTCTCGGCGATCGTTAACGAAGTAGCGTGCGCAACGGTCGGCTTTACTTTGCCTTGCACTTGTGTGTGTGTTTATGAATATATATGTGTATGTGTGCGTTTGGTAATGAAATTTGTTACATTCCCGTTTACAGTTTGTATTTGTGTTGGTGCGCAGTTGTGCACACACAGAAACCGAAAATATTATAAAAATGCCAAAAATGTAGTAAATAATAAAGAATCTTAAACTTTTGGCTGTGCCCGTTCCCGTGCCTGCGCCTGTGCCTGTGCTCACTGGACTGTGTGCGTGTGCATGAGTGTGTGTGTGTGTGTGTGTGTGTGCGTTTTTAGTGGCGAGTTTTGTTGCTATACCAGCTTATGCTTATGCCGTCTATGCATGTGTGTATGAGTGTGTGAAATTTATCATAAATACTTTTGCACAACGCGCGCCCCTCAAAACGCATGAGAAGAAAGTTGTTTAGCTGCGTAGAAAACAACACACGAAACAAAAAAACAAAAAAAAAAGCATCGAAACTCGAAAGAATAACAGAAAACAATTGAAATGCTGAAACACAAAGTATGTCAAATGTTTGTTAGAAGTTAGCGGAAGAGCAGCGGGAGGAGCGGAGGAGCAAAGGGCCTTCCAAAGTGCATAACGTCTAAAACGAACTTTCCAGCCATGCACTTGCATACATTCATATCTATTTATGTGTATGTGTATATCGCGTGTGTATAATCAAGGCAAAAATAATAATAATAATGGAAAGAGACGAGAAATAATTTACAAAAAAGTGGAGCGGCACACAAAAAAGTGAAAGATTGCAAGCATGCACACACACACACAAACGCACGCATAAAGTAAACGAGAAAGAGAGAGGGAGAGAGAGAGAGTGGGCACCTGCAGTCATTGTTGTTGCTGCACATTTGTTGTTTTTATTTCCCTTTTGTCTGCTTTGTACGTAAATAATAAACGTCGTCTGTGAAATTTAGTGCACACTGCGTTTTAGTGTTGGTTAGAGTGTGCTGGCCTGGAATCAGATTTGGATTTTTGACAGTTCTCGCCCATTGTTAGGGCGGCTTCCAATTAGCAGCTTGGAATTTGGCACACTTGCAATTAGCACTAGCCGAAAGTACTTGCATAAGCCATTAACAGCACTAAGGTCCGCTTTCCACATTCCATTATCTGCCAATATATATTTGCGCATTTCATTTGCCACAATAGATGGCAAAAACGAAATATGAAAAAACAGAGTTATCTCCAGCTACCTTTTTTTTTTTTTTTTTTAATGCTATTCATTTCGTTTCGTAAGCGCGCAATTTAAATGTGTTTTTATTTTCTTTCTATTTTCGTTATTTTTATCTTTATCTGCTTTTGACCGTGCAGCGGCCGTAAGTGACGCAATCATTTGCATTTTGTTTAAATAACTATGATTGTTTCATTGCTAATGACTGCAAACCAGTTATAGATATAAACGAGCTGTATTTTATTTAGACATTTCATTTCATCTGACGTGGTTGTTGTTGTTGTTKCTGTTGCTGGCAATTATACCAATAAAAGCTCATTAAAGTGTTCACATCATTGTTGCTTCTGCTGCTGCTGCTGCTGCCGCGGCATATTGTCTTTTACCGTTATTAATATCGATAACAATGACATATCGTTTTTGTTTTGTTTTTGTTTTATTGCTGCTGGTACGCCTCAAAAGACTTAAGCAACAAACTTGCCACCAAAGTGTCACGCAGCTAAATTAATAAAAAAAAAAGTAATCGAAAACCAAACACCCAAAACGCTCTTTATGCAAATAACATTTAATCTATTTAAATATTTTGATTGAGCGACTTTCGTTTTCTTTATTGAAGTCGGGGTTTTTTCTTGTCTGAAGTTAAACTGATTTTCGGAAACAATTCAAAAGAAATAATGCCATCACTTTTTAACTTTGAATTATTCAAGTTTTCTTTTCTCTATCTTGAATATGCTGAGAATGCTCGTTTTACGTAATAGGAAATTGTCGCTTCGATATTGAAATATGATGCTTAATATAGATTTCAAATGTTCGTTTCTATTTACATAATAGTTGTCATTAGCCAGAGAAAACTCGTTTCTAGATATCAATTGAGTTAGCAAGCATTCTTAGTTATGGAAATATATGTGTGTGTATACGTGTCTATGGATAAATGTATGATGTAACTAATTAACGTAAAGAACTCTTAAAAGCATCACTATATTATTATTTAAAATTTTAGTAGAGTTTCGTATGATTAGATGCGTCTACTCAGGCTGATCTTATGCGTCATATACATACATATAAATACATACATTCATCAGTTCAGTAAATTATACACACATACATACATACAAAAATACATTTATAAATGCAGATGTATATAAATGCATATATACACACATTCACACACACATAAATAAATGCATACATACACACACATATATATATATATACATACATACACAGATACATACACATACATACATGCACACCATCCATCTGTATACACCTTCACACACAAGCACATACGCAATATAGACTTTGCTAAGCATCCAAGTCAGCAAACCCTACATGAAATTATGAGAATCGAGGAGGAGAGCTCTGTCAAAAATTTCGTTTGCATAGCGCAGTGAAAAGTAAATTTAAATTACAACTGATCTATTAGGAAATGTTGACAATACATAGATATGTACACATACATATACTCATATACAGATATATATATATACACCTACACATATTTTTATATATGAGCAGCATTTTCATATCAGACTATTACAATTTTCTCAGCTATTTTTTATACGCAAAATGATTTGGCTTTCGGATGTCAAATTATAGAAAATATTTACATATATAAATTTAATTTACATATACATATAAATAAATATACATATATACATGTATAAAACTAATTTGTATAAACCTCTTTTAACTTCTATTCTTCTGAGTTCTCTCTTAAGTTTATTTCGTAAAACGTTTTTATTTCAAAATTTCAAAAATAAATGATCTAATTTATATGCAAATTTTTTTTTGCAACTGTTTGCTCAGCTGTTTTTCCGCATCGCATTGTATGAAATGCATTGAAATGGAAAACAAATCTGACGAGACGAGACGAGACGAGGCGACTCAAGTCGAGTCGAGTGATACATGAGATAAATTTTATGCTTGGCATGTGCGAAATTCTACGCCAGCTGCGAAACACAAACAAAGTTTGCTCGGCTACCATTTAAATGGGTGTAGAAACCGGGCATAGCTGCACGTTCAGCGGGTGCAGGGGGGGTATATGGGTTAAGTCTATTTAGAAACTAGAGACTTGAATTTTCCTATATATATTATATGTAGATGCTAGACGTGTATCATGCAGCCGACTGCCACGTTCTTACCTCAGCTTCCTCCTCTCCTCCTCCTGCACTTCTGTTCAGTTACAGTTGGCTGCGCTGTGCTGGCAGCGCGTTTGCAGCGCTTATGTAAGATCCGTAACCCTGCTGAGGACTGGGGCGGGGTAGGCGTTTTGTCGGTTGTCAGTTAGTTTCCAATCCCATTTCGAGTCTCTTCAATGTCTGTCATTACAAATTATCATTACACGCTAATTATGTCAAAAAGTGGACTCTAATTGGACCATTCAATCAAAGCGATATTGTGATCGCATCACAGATATGTCATATATATATGTATGTATATATTTCAATATATTGTGTGTACATGTATTTGATTTGTAGGCGTTTTTCATTCATGGCTCGATTGACTGTTTATTTTTTGTGTGTGGGCTGCCAGCGGCGCCAAATCAATTTCATTTTAGACGTGCTCTATCGATCCATGCCCCCTCTCTCTCTCTCTTACACCCTTTCTTTCCCTTTGCCAACAGCTCATTTATAGAATTCGTAGTCTAGTCAAATTGTGTGATGAGTGATGCTGCGAGGAATGCTGCGGGGTGTGGGCCAAAAGTCAAAACAAAAAACCATCGATACTTAAAAACGATTTTGGTCTTAATCACTCAACTGGCATTAATTGAGAAAATTAGTATAACATAGAACTAAAGATCTTTCGATAAATATATGTATGTGTGGGAGGGTTGCATATATTTAATGAGCTATCAGTGGGAACAGCCGAGAAGAGGTGTTTGATTAGTTTGAAAAAAAAAAACTATATTTACAATATTAAATGATATATTTCATGTATAAGTGGAAACAGTTTCATAAGTTTCTACATAGCATAGAAAAATGATTAGATATAGACAGATCAAGAGCTAGAAATTAATATAAATATCTGTGAATAAACTCTATATTATATATATATATATAAATATGAGATTAATAAAAACGTGGGAATAGTTTATGTTGTATAAAGAGAATGCTAATGAAATATATATATAAAAATATTTTAAATTATATAGTTTGAAGATATGAAATGAACATAGAAAACGAAATATAATTGAAGTGAAAACCGTCAAGGGAATGAGTATTTCTGCATGGGAAAATAATTAATAGAAGTGGGAATAGTTGATAGTTTCAGAGCTTGCCCAGTTTATCAAAAAGAAACTCTCTAATAACATAACTTTATATCTGTCCAATTTTCGCTATTAAAATTTCCTCAATCAAAACATTCCAGAGATTTCGATATTAATTCTCTCTCTGCGCACAATTTGGAAATTCATTGTTTATAATTATGGAAATGAAAGGAAATGCTAATCTAATAGGAAACAGTTGTAACCCCCACACCTATCTCCCCACTTCTCTCTCTCCCTCTCACTCTCT